AAAAAAAGGAAACAGAAGAGGAGAGGCAGTGCTAACAGGGAAGAAAAACAGAAAATGAAGACAGGGAAATGAGGCCTAAACATTTCCCCATGTGTACATCTGGGGGCGGCTTCTTTACTGGGCACGACTTTCGCCTGCTGTTTCCAGGCATCTACGCACAACTCCTCTGAGGCCTTGAAAGAGGACGGTGAACCAGATAGTTGGATAATTGAGGCCAAAGAGGTGACTCAGAGCTCACGGCCAGGACTTGGGGGTGGGGCGGGGTGGCGATCGGAGCCCCCCTGCCTGCCGCACGGCTGGCTGTAAGCGAGTCCGCGCTGGGGTGTAAAGCGCCCCCCAACACACACACACCATTCCTGACCCCAGCCCCTCACTCCTCTCCTTGATCTGGCTTTGTTGGCGAAGCTCCGGGGAAGACACTGCGCAGCAGCGGAGACAAAAGGGGCGGGGAGCAGAGATCGGAGGCCACGTCCACCTTCCTCATCCCCGAGAACCATCTTTACTGTTTCTCTCTCACTGACCCTCAGTTTTTGAAAGTGCACGACTGCCACGGAAGCTGCGTCGCATATTCTGCATATTCCATTCCTGCCCCTGTTTTTGTTGCTCAAACACGTGTAACAACCATAAGTTTTAAAGCGAAGTCATGATGAAAACCACTGAACTGAAATTATGATATAAATATAAATAATGCAATAAAACCGAGGTTAGTAAGTCTGGATGGTGGGCACATGGCTGTCAATGGTTTCATGTATGTTTGAAATTTTTCCTAGTCAACAGTGAGAGTATTTTTTCAAACTAGGGTCAGCTTTGTTCTTTAATTGAGATGGTTGGTATTGTCAGAAAGCAGGAAATTGCGGCATTATCATGGGGTTTTGTTTTTTTTAATTTGCAAATAGTTCTCTGACCACTACTTTTTGGATTCTGAGGGCTGTAGGAATCCTTATGCCCTGAGATGCATCCTAAGAGCCCATTCTCCCCCAGAGGGAAGGGGGAGAGTGGACTCATTTCTTTGACCCTTCATCTAAAGAACTTTCTGGCTGTGGGAAGCGAAATAAATGTGCTGTTGGGCAATTGTCTTACCCTTGCTGGGCTACAGGTTCCTCACCGTGTTCACTGACAGGTTGAGGCAGTTGGCCTGTGAGGTGCGTCTCGCTGAAGGCAGGGGTTGGGGAGGGGAGGAGCAGAGGGAAGACGGGAGGCAGGTTTGTCATTGCCCCTCGAATAACGCTTGTGACGACTATTTTTAAAGCCACCATCTGCTGCTTACATGTTTCAGTTTTTATGTGGACAGGTGTGTGTGTGTATACGTGTGTGTGAGAGAGAAAAGAGGAGGGGGAG